GGCATACAAAAAGCAAGAAGTCAGAAAGATGTATCGCAGAAAATAAAGCACAATATATTATTGATATTTGAGAGCAAGGGTATATTAGAGTTTTTGAAATTTGAATCTAGGTTTTTACATTCAGGCAATGATTTTTAAAGATCGTTTCAACAGCATGGCTACAACAGGATTACTTTTCTGATTTAAAAATGCCCTAAAAACATTTGTACTGTGAAATTTAGCTGCACCTGGCAGTTTCCTTCCTCTTTCTGGATCTCTCATAGTGGGACTCCCCTGAGATCACTGACCTTGGGTTCTTGCTGTTCTGTGATGCCCTCACTTACAGACCCTTCCCTGGTGGCCAACCCTTTAGTTTTACATATGCTGTGACCACAAGAGCCTTCCAAAAATACAGTCCTGTTTAACCTTGCTAGAGAAAATAGAGGAGATTTACTTCTTGGCCTTACCTAGAAATCTAGTAGCTCTGTTATGCCTTTCAACCTAAAGTCTGAAAATATGGTCTTTCTTCCTACTGTAGTGGGTTTTGTTCACTAATTTGAGATTTCCTGGCCAATGCACCAATTAATGTGGTGGGTTCAGTGCTGGCTAAACACCAGTGCACCACTAAAATTTATTTACTCATTTCCTGGTGTGAGATAGGATTAGGAGGAAGCCAAAGCAGGCTCAAAACTTTAAAAGGGCATAAACAAAAGTTTATTAACAGTACCTAAAAGAAAGAATAATAAGAATCAGAATAAAACCTTTAGAACACTTCTTCTCCCCTCTACAACCTTTCTTTTCTCACTAACAATGTACAGAAACAATTCCGTCAGTTTATAACTTCTAGAATACTCTTTTTTCAGTTCACTTAGGGAGAGGAGTCCCTCTTGTCAATTTATGGAGACTTCTCCAGGAGAAAACAGTTCTCTCATGGTTTCAATTTCCACAAATAACAGCCGTCCTGGTCCCTGGTATCTGTAATTGTGAAGTCTCTCTCATCTTTCACAATTTTCTCACAGCTGTGTTTATGGGCCATGTCAAGGTATGGGATACTGATTTCAAGATGAGCTGTTCAAGAGCAAAGATTCTCTTTATTGATCTCTGAGATCATCTTCATCCCTGGGAACGGAGATCTTCTTCCCTCCCTGGGGGGAGTAGGGTCTTCATCACTCTTTTCTCTCTGTCCAAATTTCTCATGAGATCACAGCTACTTCAACATCTGCTTACTTTAACATGGAGGCCTTTGGTCATATCTACGATTGGAACACTTAATCTCCCCATACTTTCAACAAGTTACAGGGAAAAAGAATCTGATGTATCAATTCTTCTCCATAGCTTTTCTAGAGCATTTCAGCTCCAAAATCGAGGCATCTCCTCATCCCTCCTATCTGCGACTTGACTTTCTTCACTGACCTTGGTGTCTTCATGTTGTTCCTCTATGTGTTCTCACTCTGTCCTTTTCTCTCAATGGTAGGAGGTTTGAAGGTCTGAAAATCTTACCTGTGCACTGAAAGAGTTAATAATGTCATGCCTAAGGCCTGCAGATGGTCATGTGACCTGGCTGAGATGGGAGCAGGGCCAGCCTTGTTACCTGCTCTCAAACTGGAAAGAATAGAGAGTTTCCCAGGATTTTTTAATCTTTAATATGTGTATTCTTAGAGGTGTGTCCGTCTTTCTCAGTGGTTTAACAGGTTGTCAGTTCTCAAAGCTATTTACTGATTGGTTTTTTTTGTCAGACACGGAGGAAACTGCAAGCAGCTTCTCTTAGAAAGTCACTTCCATGAATGGCTCCAATGCAAAACCAGCATACCTGCTTTGTCTTTCCTTCCTCTCTGGTCTTTAGAAATTTTTCTTAAGTTCCAAAAAGGTGATGGTTCATTCCTTTCTGTAGTATGCTTTCCTGTCCAGAACAATTTTCCTAAGACAAGTCAGGGTCACTAAAGAAAAGTGCTCTAATAAATGTGGGGTTTTTTTACAGCTATCTCTGAACATAAATATCAGAAGTCATTCCTTTTTATCCATTTATTGATTGGTTTCTTAATTTAGACAAAGTGTGCCAGACATACACAGCAGATTTTAGGTTATATTGTGCCCAAAATGAAATACTGACCAGGCCTCAACCATTTGATTTGTATTACAGAAGACTCAAATCAGTGTCTTGATATAGTAATACATACATATACTACTTTAAGGTGAGGTAGACACACTGCCTTGAAGAGTTTTTTCTTTTGTCAGGAAGCAAGGAAGTCTAGGTGGGAAAAAAGAGAATGTGTTATGTGAAATGTGGATAAATCATCTGACTTGCTGAAGATTTAAAGCAAAAGTGGATTCTTTGACTGTAATGTTGTTTTTTGAAACCTACAGTATTTTGTCACTGACATGGGGCATAAAAAGCTGAGTTTTCCCATATCTGATGCTCCAACCAAAATCTCAGCTTCCTTCTGCTAAATTTCAGTCTTGATGATGCTCATTCAAAACATTTGTCTATGCTTGTCTTCTGTGGTTTTTCATGCAATAATAAGAAGTGGGTAAAATTTTTCAAACAAAATGTATACAGGTTGAAAATTGTCTTCTTTTTACAGAGTGACAAGGTGAGTGAAGAGGGAAGAGAGGAAAATTCTTTCAGCTTTGAAAGAAAGAAAACCTTACCTCAATGATAGCAATGAAAGGGAATTTTCCTTCATGCTAAGTATCAGAAAGATGGAAACAGCTGTAGCTAGTTGCCTTCTGTAGGCAGAATTATATTTTGTAAGACCATTTTCAGCTAATTTGGCTGTTGTGCAGTTTGAACTTTATGAATTGACTTGTAATTGGACTGTGCTGTCAATGGGAAAATTTACAAGTATTGAACATGACATTTTTAAGAAGGTTACTGTCATCTAGTCCTCTATTAGTGGGTTTGCAGAGAGTTATAATTGGCCTAACAAGCCTAGTAACCTGTCCTACTTCCAATTATAATGTACAATCTCATTTAATACTTTTCTTTATTTACTGATAAGTAATAATTCTCTGTCTAATGCACATGCTTCAAAATAAAGCTGTCTCATCATGGAATGTGTGGGTTCTTTTAATATACATGCATATATGTGTCCATACACATAAATTATATCACTTACGTATGCATATAACTGTGTGTATATATATTCTGAAGAGTTCAAGTACATATATATTTTAATATATGTATTTATATATATACACAAACATTTTTTTTCTGTTTAATTAAGTACAAAGTCTCCTGTTGCTTTTATATTTCTGGTGTGGACAGGGAGATAGTGTTTTCTCCAGACCTTTGTTAAGTTTATGTGAATATTCTGGCTAGAAGTGTTAGTACATTCATGTTGATATAATTCTTGGGACTGAAAAAAAAACAGAGGAAGTGTAATAAAATGAACAGGTTGATGAACTCAGTGCATTCATTATCAACTTAGATTTGCATGAAGGAGAAACTTTTCACTTCTTATAAAATTAGAATGGCATCATTAATTTTGTTTACTACACAAGCAATTTTTTGCACATGTAAGATTTACTGGCAGTTTGCAGGCAAATACATCTTGTTGAACAGCCCTATGGAAAGAGCTCTGCAGAAGCATCTGCAGTCATTGTACCTCCCCAAAGCAGAATTTTTTGTGCTGTTTTCACTGTATGGGGAATGTTGACAAATCACAATGGTGAACTTGGAAGTAAAGGAGGAACCAGTGAAAAAAAAATTTAAAAAAATAAAAATAAAGGCGGCTAGGGAACTGATATTTTGATGCATTCAAAAAGTTAAAAGCTTCAGGTTTTGAACAATATCTTCATATATGGCAACTTGGTCTTCAATACTATGCGCCCTTTGCTTGTTTTAGTAAAGACTGACTGGTGAGACACCAGACCAAAAAAGAAAAGAAACTAATCAAGCAGCAAACCTTTTAGATATGAACAAGAGAAGCAAAGCCACCAGAAAAGGGTTTGGTCTTTCTCCTTTTCTTCATGTCTTCTGGTCTCAAGCATAGCTGCCTTTAAATTGTTAATATAGTTCTGCCCTAGTAGAAGGGCCAGCAGAAGAAGAATAACATATTTTGTTTGTTTGTTTTTTGGGGTTTTTTTTGATTGTTTTGTTTTGTTGTGGGTTTTTTTTTTGTTGTTGTTGTTTTTAATGGAGATGCTCTTGAATGAATGCCTTCTCAGAGTGTGCTTGAGAATTTAGAGAGGTTTGGATGGCATCTTTTTTGAGTAATTTAATTAATTCCATTAACAGAGTGATTCCATTCTTACTTTGGGTTCTGAATAATATTTTATTTGAACAACATTATTCTTGAGCCTCAGAAAACAGAAGACAATGCTTCTGTTTATTTTGGTGATAGTGTGGTTGTTAGTGAAACATTTTAAACTTCAGTGTTTGTTTTTGTTACCCTGCTGGGCATGAAGAACTACCAGCATGAAACTGTGTTGGTTCAGGATACTCATATCATCCTGTTCCTTTGGTTTGCATGCTCCTTTAGGGTGCAAGGACAATCTGAAGTTATAGGTTTCAATAAAGAAAAATAACGATCGTACAGCAGATTATAACTCATTGGTGTATCTGCAGATTAAATGATGCTAACTTGCATCAGCTTCACAGAAAAGTGATGTTTCAAGAAATAGGAGCAAGGGTATGGCATAAGGTTTAGGTTCTTCAGAATGTACTTTTGGCAAGGCAAACTGTGCTTTAAGTTTTAGAATTTACTAATGTGTGTCCATGTGTTCTTACCTACTTGTGACTAATGATCCATGATTTTTCTGCAATTCTCACTGTGCTTTTTTGAGTGTGTATTCTGCTGTATTTCCCAACTTCTCAATGCAGGCTTTCTGACAGAATCATAGATGTGAACTCTCTCAGAGCACAGCAGTGTCTCTAATAAATAGGTCAAATAATCTTAGAAACGGTGTTTGTTAGCTTTGAATCGATAGTGATGAAGTTTCTCTGTGTTCTTGCTTGCTCAAACTTCTGTCTAATCTATCTTTGTTCTCTTCTTCTTGTGCAATCTTTTCCTTGCTTCCAGTGGCTGCTACAAAGAACAAAGCTAGAGGTGAGTTTCTGCCTGCACCCTTCAATTTGCATTGCATGGTTCTGCAGCCCACGCATTTTCTCCCAAGGTTGTTTCTGCTTCGCCAAACAAAGAAAAATATCTTTAGGTCCTATGGTATGATAGATTAGTTCTTTACAATTTTGAATTTACACCTAAATGCATTTGTTTATCAATCAGCACTGCTCATGCTGTATTTTGTTAATTGCTTTAATTTGGGAAGTTTTCAGGAAAAAGATAAAACTAAGTGTTTTGCAGTTAGATTTCTGGCTTGCATTGTAGTAATGTAGGGATATTGATGGCATTTTAATCGAAATGAAGATATTGCATAAAAATGCTCATAAATATGTAAATGTAATTTATATTTTTTATCTCTAGTCATAGTCATAAATATCTGAACAGAGAACAATGAACTCCTAAGTGTCTCCTAAGCATTTCCTGTCTTTTCACACTAGTATAAATGATCATCACTGTTCCTGATAGCATAGCAATACATAGAAAGGCATACTATGATATCTGCAGAGATTTATGGCTTCAGAGCAGCAAGGTGATTGCCACAAATCAGTGTGACAAAGAAGTAAACCTTTCAGAACTAATCATGTAAGGTCAGCAGTGCTGTAAACCATTTCCTGAATTTCAACGAAGCAGTGATGTAGCAAATGTAACCTGAGGGGTGTATTTTGACTTACAGATACACATAAATCAATGCATATATGCTTATATATAGAGATGCATGTGCATTTATATGTGTGAACATATACTTGCGTAGAAAATCATGACAATAGGTATTTTACTATCATTTTTCTCTTATTTCTGGTAGATAAATTTGAGTTGTCTGATAATTAAACATCAGATTTTAAGGCAAAAATCTGCTAGTTTACATGTATTTTGGAAATTAAGATTCACGATGTTTACAAAGTTCAAATCCATACATTGCTTAGCTTGAGGTTGTAGTACAATAATAATAATCAAAGAAAATACAGCCAGTTGAGAGTGTTTATGCATTAGAATAATTAAACCAATAATTAAAATACAGCTCGGGTTTGTATTTTTTTTTAAACCCTTGCATGGCTTTTTGTAAGATCTTTTTCTCAGAAACTTTGCATGCATTGGGTGATGTGAATGAGGGGAGTGAACAAAATCAAATTCATCTCTTTGCCTATGCATGCTTTACAATTTGCTTTACTCCTTTCTGTACTGTTATGTATTCAGCTGTGGTGCTGTGTGGTCGAGACTTTGAGACCTTCATAATTAATAAAAAAAGCCCAACCCAAAACAACATCCACAGAAGCCACTTTTCAGCACAAATAAACACGATCTCATCAGTACTCAATGATTAGCTGATATTCCCATATATTGCCATTCAAACAGAAACTGCCCTGGAGGACAGGAATTGTAGGATGAGTCAGAATTACTCATGGCTACCACTCATCTGTGAGCATTAATACACCCTTATTTCAGAAGTGCACATGCATATTGAATGCACAGCTGAAAGTCTATATAGTGAAAGAGGTTTGACACTGTGATCTGCGTTATCTTTGGAGATCTCTTGCTCAGCTGCACAGTGCCTTCAAGAAGTCCTTGGCTTTTCCTTTGCAGCTGAACAGCCCTGTGATGAAAGCACCCAAAATCCACAAGGAATTCAGTCCTGCAATAGTTCTGTCTTTTACCAAAAACATAGGACCTATTTTATGATCTCCTGTGGTGTAAGACATAAAGTGGATGATGCCTTACTGCTTTTCTCATTACTCTGTCTAAGCAGTAAAGAAAGGTCTGTTCCTCCTTTTCAAGTCTAATACTTGACTGGCAAACAGTTCTCTAATACAGCACTGGAAACATCAATTCACAACCGACAGAATTCTCAGGAGGAGTTTCTCTTTTGGCACTTATAATATGAAATCCAGCAGTCCTTTATGTCTTTGCTCTTATGTATGGGTCTTCATCTTTCCTTTCTGAAAGTCTGGAATTTGTGCTGCCATTTTCAGCAAGGCACAGTTGACCTCATGCCTACCCTAAGATCTAAGAGTTCCAGAGCACATTATTAAATGATATTCTGTGGGATCACCTGTCTTTTGTTTGTGCATTGTTAGCATGGGAAAACTCCTGCTGGTCTCCACTTCCCTCCCCCTCCTTGTTGGATTGTCTGTAAGCTGAACAACAGAGCCTTTGCTCTCAAACATTGCATTCAATGCTATTTCCTGAAGTATTTTCTCATTCTTTGTCAAAGACTGCTTGTATTAAGTGCTGTAAAGCAGCTGTTGAACTCTCTACTTTAGCCTAGCTTTGAGGCACTTAGAATCAATTTAGGTTGAAAGGTCATCTGGTCTGCAGGTCATTTGGACTGAGCTACCCTGTAAGTAAAACCCACTTAAATCTGTTTGCTCGCAGCCTTCCAGTCAAATTGAAGTATCTCAAGGATTTCACAGCTGCAGGATAGATTTCCACTATGATTGCTTGATTTTACCATGGTTTTCTTTCTTAGACTTTTGATGACTTAGAAGAAGCTGCATAAAGTTCTTTATGGTCTGCAGAGTAGGTAAATACTTGGATTTTGCGCAGGACAGATATTCCTTTGGACTCCTGGGCAGATGCTGCCACAGGATGCTTATGGTCAGAATACTTGGGACATTTCCAAGAAGTCTAGTTCAGAAGGGTTTGGAAGGGTGAGGTGTGGGGGCAAAATGAAACATGAAAATGGCCATTTATAGCACTTAATTTGATGAACTGGAAACTGAAGGTGCCACCTGTAAATCTCAGGCTATCAAAGGATTTTTCAGTGCATTAATATTTTAAGGAGCATTTCTTAATGCACCAGATAAGATTTGTTTAGCTTGATCTCTATAAATGAACATTTCCTCTAGCAGAGCCCCTGTTAGAAGACTGCTTGACCTCTTAAGGAGCGCTATTGTGACAATTTTGGGACAATATTTTTGCAGATCTTTTCTGGCAGCAGTTAGCAATGGTTTCCAGCCTGGATGGTCTTACCAGATCTGCTAATGATGTGTCAATTTTCAACCAGCAAGTGGAAGAGAGGGCCTTGTGTCTTCATTCAAATGTAATTGGTTGAGAAATGGAGTTCTGTGCTCCTCATTTTCACTTCTTTGATACACTCCAGGTCATCTGCTAATAAAACGTTTTTGTTAGATGTGTCCCAAACCTCCGGAAGTTAGGCAATTGGCTTTTAACCCTTCAAAGTATAAATTGGAGTTTCTGATAATTTTGATTGTGGGGTTTGTTTTTTGTTTTCTTGGGTTTTTTTTCCTCTGATGGCGCTTTTCATTGTTGCTACTTTTTTTTTTTTTTTTTGGTTAAGAATACTGAGGATGTCTGTGCCTATGGCAATTTCTTATAAAGAAAAAAAGAATACAAAGGCCAATTTCTTTTGCAGGAGGGGAAAGCAAGCCCTCCAGAAAGATCTCTTACCTGCTTGTTAAGAAGTACAGCATTTCTTTCTCTTTCTAAGTCTCCTCTGGCCCACAGATTAGAAATGGTGACATTTCCAAGACGATTCCTAACTCCCCAAGAAGAGACTTCTTGCAGAGGGGAAGATTTGTCTCCTTTAATTTGGCAGGATTCATACTATCCAATCTTTATTAAAACCTGTTGGATTGGTAGCTATTTCTGACATGCTTCTTTCTTCATTTTAGCTGTGTGTGAACCTCTATTTTTAATTTTTTTTCTCAGGGGAAATCCCATTTGTGTCATAGTGCCATGGCTTCTCATAGCAAAGTATTGCTGTAGTACCCACACAATGCTATATTCTGTCTCCAAAACTGACATTAGAGTTGTACTTCTGATGGTTCTAGGGGATGTCAGTTTAATGGCAGATACCATCATACTTTTTTCTACTTTAGTATTACAGTTTTAAATACTGTAAATGCCTTGAACTCTATCTCACTTGCCTCACAAGTTGCTGTAACAGGACTATTTTTTGTCACCTGGTGGATATCCAGGGGATTTTTGAGTTGTGTCCTTTTCTTGACTTTCATTGAATCTATATCCTAAGGAAATTCTCTTTATTTTTGAGAACCATGGAAAAGCATTTTTTTCTTTCAGTCATTTCTTCTACAAATGCAGGAGTATATTGTTTCTGCCTTACTTTTAAAAGAGGAGAGTGATTCTCCTTCAGAAGCATAAGATTAAATTTAGCTTTATCAATGCTACTTAAGGCTTACATCTCAGTCTGTAAAATAAATCATCATAGCAGTTGATGCACTGTCTAAAAGCATCTTATCCAGGAGGCAAAGATCACTCTGGACTTTATTCACTTGATTTGCTTTGTTTGTTCTCATTATGTCAATGAAATTGGTATCAGCTTATCTGAAGCGTAAGTCAGGATGGATCATGGGAAGAGTGTTGAACCAACATACTCTTTTATTGCTTGGATAGTTTTGCGCAGTTACTCACATTATCTTTTAGTTAAGAATCAATTTTTTTCTCTGGACTTCATCAGATCTTCATCATTGGTCATGTTCTACCCAGCCATCTCTCTGATTTTCTCACAGCATATGATAAAGTTTGTTGTGTATATTCTACATAAGTATATTTTTAAATATGTAGGTAAAGAATAGGTTTCATGCATTACCAGAGTTTTGACTACAAACCAGGAGAAATTTTGTTGGCCAGAACTTGTCAACACAATTGCAAGACCTACAGGGTCTAAACCTACCAGTTTAAGTAATTTCTTTAGTACATGTAATTAGCCAAGCATATTTCTCATTCAGAAAATTATCATAGAGTTAAGTCAGTAACACAGCAGCTGTCCATGTAAGGAGCAAGATGATATAAATGTACACAAAGGAGACCCAAACACTAATATGTCTTATTTGCATTATCTTCACAAAGTTCTCAGCTGTTCAGTTACTGACATCGTCAGGCATTAGCTTTGCTGATTTTTTTTGTTGGTTTTTTTTCTTTTTTTTTTTTTTTTGGTTGAGGAATAGCTAACTGAGGGTATCATCTGCAAAAATGACACTCTGCAACATATGATGGCAAAAGCTGCG